CCAACGACCGCGAACTCTTGACATTTTAAATTTTTTGGGTAAATCGAATACCAATCTAAAATGACTAAAAATTACAAATAAACTACAGTTAAATACACTAAAATAATAAACTTTCTTATCTTTTTTGTTTTTGCGAAAAACTCGGTCAGTTAAAGATTTGATAGCGAGGTAAATTTTTTTTTTCTACTTGTGAACGATACTGGCGGATCATTTCTAGCTTATCATCAGTACCTTCTGATTCTTCTTTCTGTTCTATGGAGGAAATTATACACCACGACGCTCTCCTTGCACCAATGACATTTTTATAAGCTACAGAGAGGAGATTCCTTTCTCAGTTTCAAGTCCAGCTTCGCTACCTTCTTCATGGCTTTCACCATTTCATCGTATCTCTCTGCTTAAATCGGATTAAATGACTGTAGACGAAAATTGATTATATCCCCTGTCACATGCGACGGGCAAAGTTACTACAGTAATTAATAAACGCAGAAGAGCTACAAGCAGTAATAAAAATGTTGAGGTATGAAAAAGGTCTTGGAGTGTATAGGATAATAAAAATTATAAAAAACATGGGGAAAATGGAGAACAAATAATACTAAAAATTATAAATAAAATATGGAAATATGAAGATTACCGGAAGATTGGAAAGTGTACCTAATAGTAACCATATATAGAAAATGAGATAGGAGAGAATGTAATTACTACTGAGGATTAACATTACTATGTACATATATAAAACGTTTTGACAAAATAATAAACACAGTATTGAGAACCATGGCAGAACACACATTATAAAGTATTTTTATGTATGAGAGAGTAATAAAACAATAAATTATGTATGCAAATCCCTAAACTGTTGATACGGGTGACTCAATGAAAAGCAGATATTTGTCAACAAGTTTACAGAAGTATATAGGAAAACAATTTTAAATTGAGTATGACCACCATGTATAAAGGTTGGAGCAGAATAGAATACAATAGTTGTGAGGGTTACTAATCCCTAAATAAGGTTGCCAGTGTCGGAGTGATGGAGGTTAACAGGTACTAATGAATTTGCAAGAAATGTAAAATATTTATTTTATTGGTTATATATAACCAATAAAAGTTTAATAAGTACCTACCTATTTGCAAAATAAAGTTTAATTCTTTAGATAAAATAAAACGTTTTATTTTATCTGAAATGAGTGCATTCCACGAAGTAAGGGTTTCAACAATCAAACATTTAATTCTTTAATTCCAGGAATCTACGACAGTAATTGACTAGATAATTACCTTCTAAACTTATTCCACAGAAAATGTGATAGTGGGTTTTTTTCCATTTTGTAGGAAGGTCCAAGTGGCGTATTCAAAATTCTTAACAGTTCACTAAAAGTAGGTACTTCAGTTGCAGGATTGTGTATACTAGTGTTATGGAAAATTTGGAAATGCCGTGTAAACGCCGAAAAATTGGTCCTTTAACAGTTAATGAAAAACCATTAATATTTAATTGTTTTAAATCATTTACAGACAAACGTTTATGTGAAAGTGTTGATGAGACCGTTGAGTTAGTTAGCAGTACACTTGGTGTTGGGAAATCTACGATTTACAGAGTTATTAAAGAAGAGAAATGTGGTAGTTTTCAAATGCCACGTAATGCTCCAGGGAAACCAAAATTTCAAATAGAATATATCTTAAGTTATGTAAATAACTTATCTACTGGTTTAAACCCACCATCAGGAAAGGGACGCAGGCTGATAATAGTACACATTGGCAGTTCAGGACGGTTTTGTTGAAGGTGGTTTATTAACTTTTGAATCACTCGTACCGGTGACTACCATGAAGACATGAACGCTGATGTCTTTCAAGAATGGTTCGAACAAATGATTGATCTTCTTCCTAAGAACTGTGTAATAGTCATGGATAATGCAAGTTATCACTCCAGACTTGTAGAAGGACTGCCCACAACCAAGTGGTTAAAAAAAGACTTGCAGAATTGGCTGAGTTCAAAAAATATAACGTACCATCCCGGATCTATAAGAAAGGAACTTTATTCGTTGTGTGCCCTTCATAAAGAAAAATTTAAAAAATACGAAATTGATGAAATTGCCAAAAATCGTGGAATGACAGTACTTAGATCCCCACCATATCATTGTGAATTAAACCCGATTGAACTGGTATGGGCACAGATAAAGAGTGAAGTTTCAAGAAAAAATACCACTTATAAAATTCATGATGTTAAACAGTTGTTTTTGGAGGCCGTAAATAATGTAAAACCTGAAAACTGGAAAAAGGCAGTAAATCACACTATTAAAGAAGAGGAAAAAATGTGGAAGCTGGACAATATTACTGATAAAATGATGGAGCCAGTTATTATAAATCTTGGTTCTGAAAGGTAATCTTCTGAATCTGATTTGGATTTGTAACAAGTAGCTGTAAGTTTTATATTAATATTTTTATTCATCTATTTAACATACCTTAGACGGTTTTAAAAACTCTTTTTCTCTTTTGTAATTTTTAAAAATTAAAAAAAAATGTGAATTTTTTAAAACCCTTTCTAATGTAGGCCAGTCAGTTCTAATATAGTGTGTGATAAAAGAGGTCACTTTTGTTTACATACACGTAACACTTTATAGCACTGAAATAATTCAATTTATTTTTTACAATTATTCAAAGTAATTTTTTAATTAATCTTGAGCACGCCCATGGAGTGGTCGGAGGTACCAGTTACAATTATGCTAATTACTCTCTCGTTCATAAAAATAAACTATAGACCAAGCGCAAAGTCGGTTTAGATATGATAGGAGTATAGAGGATCATTTTTTACTAACACAATAATATAATTAATAAATAACACAAAAAGTGCTACAAGAGAAAAAGAAAATAATACGTAGTATTTCTTGACAAAGAAAAAGCCTTCGATAAAGTACCAAGATACAAACTATGAAAAATAATAAGAGAAAAAGAAAGGACCAACAAGCTACTAAGAATGATACAAAAAATGTACAATTAGAACAACAATGTCGTAAATAGTAATACTACAATATCAAATACGTTTACTATGAATGAAAGCTGAAAAGAGAGAGGAGCACTTAGCCCAATACTGTTTATAATATTTATAGACGAAATTGTTAAGACAGGCAGAACAAGAAGTTAAAAACTGAATGTAGGGTTTGGACATCTGCAAAGAGTAGAAATCTCGAAAGGAGTATTTCTGACCATTTTATGCTAATTGCAAAAATTGAAAAAAAAACTTTAGCATAATTTGGAAAAATGGAAAGAGGTACTCACATAAAACGGAATGAAAATAAACAATAACAAAACAAAAGTTATACAGATAGAAACGAGAGAAGAACTTAACCCTGGAACTGCACTGTTGGGTCTCAGAAACCCAGAAAGTCATTTATTGCAATGTGACATGCGCATGAGTGGTTTATGTGTGTCGTCACTTAATGTAAATTCAGTCTGTCGTAAGCCGAGTTAGAATACGGGTCATCCGCTGCATTTTAGTGAAACAACGAGGTAAGATATTTCCAGAAGTACAAGCATGGGTACCCCGGACCCAAGGGTGATGTTTACGGTAATAAATTTGTTTCAACTTATTTTTATTTATTTTAGTATAATGGCGTCAACTAGTAGAGAAAATAGTCGAGTAAAGGCATCAACTAGCAGAGAAAATCGTCGTCCTCTAACTGAGGTAGAATTACAGAGAGAGGCAGACAATTTATGGGAGAATGAAAGTGAAAACGACATCGTAGACGATATGTTTGGAGGGGACGAGTCTGATGAAGATTACGTTGAAGAGCAACTGTCAGACAGCAACAGTGAACCAATGAAGACGAAATAGTAGATGAACCAGTAGAAATATTCCTAGTTTACTGGGGAATATTGCATGGAACATAGAGCCCAGCTATGCTGTGAATGCAAACATCAAGAACCAAGAAACTGAAGACCTGGCTAAGAATAACTAAGACTTATATTACCAAACGAGTTTATTTTTTTGGAACAAGGATAGTTATACAGGTGTATTTTGTAGATAATAATTTCAATTTAATGTTTATTTGTTTTAATAACAATGTTTATGTTTGAATATTATTTTATGTTATTTTTGAATTTCAACAAACATATCTCTTTGTGAAATACCACACCATGATTAAATTTTTTTCTACACGTTCTACTAAGATTAGAGATTCTCCCAAATCGATCAAATATTCACATTTTCTGTTTTTTTTTGCAAAAAACAGCTTGGGTTTCTAAGACCCGAGTGTGAAGTTCATGCCTTACAAAATAAGTGTGATGTACCAGGTTTAATATAGAAATTGAAAGAACAAAAATTGAATAAGTCAAAACCTTTAGGTACATACCTAGTAGTAACAATAGAAGAAACAGACTTTCTAGAAGAAGAAAATAGTAGCAGAGTAGAGAAAACTATATTATACAATGGACAAAAAATTTGTATGCTGAAAAGAGCAACATACAGGCTATAGGGACGATGTTTTTAAGAAGAGTTAAAAGGGTTATCAAAATGACAACGGACAACTAAGTTGGTAAGGTCATTTACATCGGATGGGTAATGTACCAGTGTGAAGAGTGTGGGGAACAAAAAAAGAGGAAGACTAAGACAGAAATGGGATGAAGTAATCGGAAAGATATTGGAGAAAAAAGGAGTGGCATGGACACAGGCGGATGTTGACACGAAACCGCAAATAATGGAAAAAATTTGTTAAGGATTAAATTAAACCTTCTAATGAAAATAAATAAATAAACAGGATACAACCAAAACGTCAACATTTAATTGTGATTTTATTAATGAGAGATGAGATCATAATAAACTAGTCACATACTTACACTATATTAGGAAACGAATTAATATACAGTTTTCAAATGGAGAATTTAGGAAGTTTGAAAGTAACATACAAAAAACTAATCATATTCAAAAATTCCAACCATGCCTAATTGATTATCAAACTATTCTCAAATACATTAAGCAGATATTTAACTCAAACTATATATTAAATATTACTCACCGATCTGTACTAACAGTTGGGTAAACACAACGATTAAAAGAACGACTACTGGTAACTTGTTCATCGTATCTACTGCAGAGTGCAACAACCAAAATATAAATGTGTTCTTGAAACGGTAGGATGGCGTTTTCCCCGCTTATATGGACTTTATCAGACGAACTTATCACATTCTATAGTCAATTTAAGTATATATTAATTCCTTTTATAATTATAACGTTGAAAAATTCAAATGATTGTCTAAAATTCCGTCGACTTGTTTGGTTTGCGACCTTGGGACTTGGGATTTGTGTCTAATTTTATTTGTATATATACAGAAGCGCGTGAAACTCTGGGTCCGCGGTTTACGAGGACAGTCCTATAAGTAATTACAGTAATTAGAAATAAATCACTTTACAAGTGAGGGGTTTCATTCCAAAACTCTCTTTTTTACATTAAGGCCAGAGAAATAAGCAAAAAAGTACCCTGTTTGTGACACCTAGACAGTTGTTATGGATAGTAGGGGAAAGTAGTTCACATTCGGCAGGGGTTTCATTCCAAAACTCTCTTTTTTACATTAAGGCCAGAGAAATAAGCAAAAAAGTACCCTGTTTGTGACACTAGACAGTTGTTTTGGATAGTAGGGGAAAGTAGTTCACATTCGGCATATTGGCTTTGAGAAGCCAAAGTTGAAAAAACTGGTTACATAATTCAAAAAGCAATATTTTTTATGAAACTTTAACTTATTAGGAACTTGTTTTAACAGAGAAAAAAATGTAGACATAAAGGTAGCTCATATTTTTGTATTTTTAAATTGTTTTCCAATTGGCCGAAAATATCCCACATAGGAGGTAGTTTCGATCATATGAAGGGACAAATTCGGCTATATATCAAAATACAGTAAAAGTAAATATGAGTAAAAGAAATATAAACTTAATTAAACATGGATTTTGTCTTACGTCTAAACCAGAAGAGTTATCATTAAATTTGTAAACACTTGATGTTATTGCAGTTCCATGAGTGGAAGAAAAAGGAAAAATAGCTGCAATATCTTTTTTTGCTACTACTGCAATGTCTTGGATAATGGGAAACAAGAAGCTGTTTGTATTATTTTTGCGGAGCAAAAGTTTGACCTCGTAATCCTCAGCTTGGAAAGAAGTTATTTGACCTATATAAAAAATGTATATCTTGGAAACAAGAAATTTTACAAGAACAAAATTTCCGACGACAATATTTTCATTGTCGGAGATGGCTTTATAATCTTCGAAATCTTCTTCGCCGTCGTCTGACGAACAATCTTGCAAAACTACATCAGTGCTAGACTCGCTTGATATAGAAATATTTCTTTTCCTGCCCACTGTAATCAAATATTTTTTTACTGATCCCTTATTCTGTTTTAAACTTAGTTTCCTTTTTCTCTCAGCATCTAAACTTTGTCTTTTTTCGTATTCCTGCGTATCTCTATATATTGTTAAGTATGCTTCTCTCTTATTTATTTGTCTTTTCTTTTCTTAAAGTTGTTTCTTTGGATATGATCTCATTTGACTCAGTGTGTTGGTCGATGTGGGAAGAACTTGAGGTAGGTGAGCCTGGAGGTGTTTTATTAATAATGTTTTCTACTACACAGGTTGATATCGACAGAATTTGCGGAATTGTTCCGGTGTTTAATTCACTTTGTATGGTATCAATAGAACTAACGTCTTTGTTTTCCATTAATGGTTTATCGGTTGCCTCGCTTGTCATAAAATCTGTATTACTGAATACAAGTCGATTTATTGGCCACAGATCAGTATTTTTAAATGAGCTGGTTATATTTTTAATTGTGAATGCACATTCATATGCCTTCTTAGTCAAACGTGCCACATGTCGAATTGTAAGGGTTTTTGCAGGATTTGAAAGTAGCCAGTCATGCTGAGCTATAGCTAAATAGGACTTAAACGGTCCACATGCGGCAACATCTAGTGTCTAAGTTCTATGTATCGTATGAGGTGGAAAAGATAGTAAAACGATCTGATTTTCTCGACACAATTTAATGGCTTCTACAGATATGTGAGATTCGTGGTTGTCCAAGAGCAGAAGTACCTTAATTTCCACAGAACATTTAACAGATTAGCAAAGTGGTTTAGTACTTTTGGTAAAAGGCCAGACATCATCCATCCTTTCTTATTCCCTAACGCCATGGCAGATGTTGGGTATTCGTTGCCTAAATATTCTTCAGGATTTCTAATTCGAGGATACACAAAGACTGGTAGTACTGCTCTACCAGCTGTACTAATCATCCCTACGAAACGTCACAAGTTCACCTCTCTTCTGTGAAAAGATGAGAGCCACTTGTTTTTTGCCTTTTGGGGCAACAACTTTAGCAGGTGGCATAACTATCGTTATGCCAATCTCGTTCAGATTCCAGATCTGTTCCGGCTTAAACTTGTATTTTTCAAGGACACTGGCATACTTGGTAAAAAAATCTTCTATAAGCGGTTTATTAAAAGCTATCGACCCACCTATACTTGTATTTTCGGGTTTAAAAAGCGAGATATCGTTGTGATATCTTTTCATAAAGCAACGTAGCCACTCCAGACTTAAAAAATATTTCTTTAGCTGCTTGAATTTACACATATACAAAAGAAATAAACTAACCTGCCATTTTATTTAACTCCTACTTGTTTGGTGCTGTAGTATTCGGTAGAGCATTAGCAAAATCATAAGCCAGTTTCCTTATATCTTTATAGTTTAGGCCGTAGTTTAAGTTGGAACACGTTTTTATGTAAGCTACAAGCTCGAAATCTTCATGCAAAGTAAAAACTTGACGAGCTGTATATTTGCTAATACGAAGCCTCCCTTTCACCTGCATTGCCCGAATCAGCCCATCCAGCCAAAAGCTCTTCTTTTGGTTTTTTTTTCTTTAAAAGGACCTTAATTCTTGACTGCATGGTTTGTCTTTTAACTTGATACTCTTGGGCAGCCTTGTGTTGACTCAAACGCCCTGTCAATTCGGCTTTACTGAGAAATTTCATGGTATTTTCAATAATTTCACAGCGATTCGTTTTTTTGTGTAATTCCTAGGCATCTAGAACAAATTAGTAAACAGAAATTATTACTTACTTTTGAAGGTTATGTTTTACTAACGTTACAAAAAGAATAAATGTTCTATCATATGCACGGTAATTGGTACATATATTAACAAAAGTACCTTATAAATGAAGCAAAAAATTAAACACATAAAACTTACCTTTAATCTACGTAAAAATTACAACGAAAAAATAATTACCACTTATTAAAACTCGTCTGTGCTAACACACTGCCAAGGATAATGTTTCTTCTAGAAGCTTGGATTGATATTGGCGCCTAATTCAAATGTAAATTGGATATATTGGGAGTAGCCGAATGTTCCCCATGGCCGAATGTAGACCACTTTCCCCTATGGACCTCTTTAACCAAAACCTAGAAGTTTCTTGCAGTAGATTTTTTATACTTAATTAGTTATTAATAAATTAAGGGCACCTTAAGTCCCAAATTAAGTCCCATTTAAAGACAATGGTAACATTATGTCACATATCTCTGTAACCAAAGCACTTAGAGACCTAATTTAATATATATATATATATATATATATATATATTATATATATATATATATATATATATATAATATATATATATATATATATAGTATATATATATATACAGAAGTAAAACACTTCAAATTTGTATCTAGGTATAAAACATTTTATTTAAAACTTTTTTAAAATAAAAAAATTGGCCAAAACTTGACATAACGTGACATTTTCGATAGAGTTCAGATCATGCTCGGTGCTTTCTTTTGTAATTTGAAGCTAATACTAAAATAGTAGCGGTGACATCAATATATGGTTTTTACATCTTTAAAAATTTAAATTCTAATGCGACCTTAGGTCGATGTCCTAGGATTTTTTTAATTTTGGGCCTAGATGTATTGTTTAGTTTTACGCAGATTTGTACGTGTTTTTGTACATTTTCAATAAAACTTTACCAGGAACTTGGTATTATATATCGACAACTACTGTAAAAATTTGGACCTTTTATCTTTTAAGGATCCAGAGATATTTGACATTTGATATTTGAAATGTTAAAAAACCTTGTATTCAGGAAATCGCAAAAACATAAAACACTCTAATAGACTCTAAACAAAGCTACCGGTACACTTACACTTAGTATTCTTCAGCACCATATGATGGCTTGTCTGGATCTTCCACTTTCTCATAGATGTATTCATAACTTCCTCTTGCTTAGGGTTCTCTTCTGTCTTATTTTTTTTAGATCAGTCGCTGCCATTTCCGCCTTTCGAATGCGCTTGTAGTACAAACTTTAATACCTAAATGTTTCTAAAACCTTGCATTTACTGGAGTGGCCTTCGTTGAATAATAAAACAGCTTCATACACCCCAAAATATAATGTAGGTAAGGTGACAAAGGCTCTTTTCGAGATTCGAGACGAAATAAGACCATTGAGGCTCTCATTGGGGATCTGTGAACTGCCTTTCAGGCATTTACCTAACAGTGCAGGATCAGCAAGACTATTCATTTTAAAAATTGGTTTTATTTTTAACATAACTTCTAAATGCAAGTGGAAGTGTTTTATGTTATCATACTATTTATTTTCTAATATAGCCTTGTTGAATTTGCACCATGTCGCTTCATTGTTGGGACACAACTGGTGCATGGGATCTTTATTGTCGTACAAAACATGAAAATAAGTGGCCCACGCAGCTTTCTTCATTTTACTATGAAAATTTCCTCTGATTGCTAACCCGTAAAAAGTCAGAAGCTTTTGCACACCAGAAAAAAGCCACTTAGCGGCTTTCCATCAGCTAACTTTTCTTTTTTTTTTGGCTTTTCTTTGAGCTTAAGCAACCTTTGGTACATACTCTTTTGCACATGGCCAATACACTCTAACTTTTCAATTTGTAAATCATCCCATAGGGTTTAGCTTGAACAACAGCCCCAGCAGCATTAGAGTCACCATCTCTCAATTACTGAGTATATCGAACATTGCACCAAGCAACTGAATGCTCAAACATTTTTAAAGCGCTTTTCTCCTCCATACCCCTACTTGTGCCAATATAATTTACTGTGCAGTCTTCACTGTGAATGTTTTTATCCC